TCTTTAGTTGGCTGTAAGCTAGAGCATGAAGTCATTGCCCGTGTGAAAGGTTCATTGGGACACATACAAGCTTGAATAGATTGCAGGGTTTATGGTAAGGACTCATGTTTGTAATATTTGATGTTTCATCTATCTGTACACTTTCTTTTTTAATTTTTTAAAAAATGTTTCATTTATTTATCTCCCTTTCTTCCTTCCTACTTGATCATTCGTCTATCTGTGATTTATCAAAAAAAATTTTTTAGTTTTCACCATCTGACTGTCTACCCCGCTGCCTGCATTCCTGTCTTCTTCTTCTTCTTCTTCTTCTTCTTCTTCTTCTTCTTCTTCTTCTTCTTCTTCTTCTTCTTCTTCTTCTTCTTCTTCTTCTTCTTCTTCTTCTTCTTCTTCTTCTTCTTCTTCTTCTTCTTCTTCTTCTTCTTCTTCTTCTTCTTCTTCTTCTTCTTCTTCTTCTTCTTCTTCTTCTTCTTCTTCTTCTTCTTCTTCTTCTTCTTTTTCTCTTCCACCTTGTACCTCATCAAAGTGTCGGGGTGATATGTAATGTTCGTTTATAAGCTCTGTCATGAGCACTATTAAGACTGATGTTCATTTCTGTAAGGCTGTTCCTAATGCCATCACTCCATATTTTACAAAGTCTTCCAATCGCTCTATACCCGTTGTAACGTTTTAGTCTGGCTCGTTGTGGCAGAAAGTACCAGTGCATTCTTGTTAGGTGTCCAAACCACTTCATTTGTTGTTCTTTGATGACCTGTAAGACTGGCTTTATTCCTAGCATTCGTCTGATTTCATGATTTCGTATCCTGTCTTTCCTTGAAACTCCCGCAGCTCTTCTAAGGCATTTCATCTCTGTTGTCACAATTTTACGTTCATTGGAGAATGTAAGTGTCCACGTTTGGCATTGATAGCATAGTATTGGCCAAAGAATAGTTGTGATAAGATTCACTTTAGTACTCTGAGGTATCTGCGTGTGTGTCAACAGGGGAGATAGCTGCCCCATTACTTGATTAGCTTTGGCACATTTGGAGCTAATTTCTCTGTCAAGTTTTCGGATGTGAAAATTGCTCCCAAATACTTAAATTCCTCTGTTTGTCTCAGGGTGTCTAATGTAGTTTCCTATGTAAAGAAATTATGAAACATTCACTAGGCTAAGTTTGCCTTGACAGAATCAAGCCATAGAATATTTCATCGTCTAGATGAGCATATAATAACACAACATATAGTCTGAAGATGAATGAATGAATGAATCAACAGCTGACGTCATTGCACTCATGACATTGCCCTACGCGCCTTGTCCACTTCTTCAGTAAACAACTAAGAATCCCAACACTGATCGTGACAGTTGCCAACTGTTTAAAAGTTCGACCCCCCTCCCCCATCTCTTCCACCCCTCTGCAGACGTAAAGTCGTCCTGATCCCTTGTCCCCTCCCAGCTGAATTATTCGCTTGAGATATGGATGCACTGTTTGTTCCGTTGCACTGTTTACTTAATCCTGGTGAGCCTTCACCGCACCTACATTATCCTAACGTAATTTGAGAATAGAGGTGGAGGCAGCCACTGCAGTTTTTCGCTGGCCTGAGAACTAGCTGCGCACGCATGTCGTGATCGTAACGGACCAACAAAGCATGCTCAGAAGGGAGGAGACTGGGTGCTTCGTGGAGAGTGGCAAACATCGCTTGAGAGGTCGGATGTAGAGAGCGTCCTTTCGATCATTTCTCCGTATTATTTGTGTATTGGGAAAGGAACATGCAGACTAACTGGCCGGTCCTGCTCTACTTGGTGTTGAATGTATGCATGATAAGGTAGACGAGTAGCAATTTTAAAAATACGGAGGAGCGAATAGATTATCACAGTCTGAAGGGAAGAGTGCAACGAGGGGTGGGGGTGTAGGGTGGGGCTAGGAATCAGCTGACACAACACTTAGCTTGGAGATGTGGTTCTCAAACTTTTTAACACCGCGACCCTATAATACAGTTCCTTGTGTTTTAGCGACCCCCACACGTACAATTATTTTCGTTGCTACTTCATAACTTGAGTGAATTTGTGTTTTCCGATGGTCTTAGGCGACTCCCATGTGAAAGGGTCGTTCGACCCCTAAGAGGGTCGTGATCCATAGGCTGAGAAGAGCTGGCTTAGAGAAAAGACAAGACGGACAGTGTTATCAGCCTGCTGCCTGCACCAACGGTATTAGAGCTGCTGTAGCAGCTGACGATGGTGATTGGGTGCTTGTGGTAATGCCCAGAGGGCGGTGATGTCGGATCTGACTCCGCTGTACTAGTGGAGCCTATGTGTATCGGACTGACTTAACAGCGACTCTTGAGCAATACATCAGACGTCAAGCTTGCAGTTTAAAAAAATATCTATAGCAAATATTTCCTTTTTTCTTCTTCTTGTTCAGACATGCACTTCCTGGAAAAATACTACACCATGAACAATGTCGCTGTCATCAGTGACATACAGCGCCCCCTATGACGACCATGATGTCAACACATCTTAGACGTTGAAAGCTCAAACTCTCTCATCTAAACAATGTACGCACCCGCGAGCCGCTTCCTTCATTAACCTGACGAACAAATCAACATCTTCAATGAACAACACATTCAAGACTGCTTCAGGCGAAGCCAGAGCGTCTGCAAGATTTCTGCAAGATGATCAGCAGTCATCCATCTGTTCAGAAGAAAAGTACAGTGTCAGTTCAAATTCTGAGCATGGTTTCAAACATTCTGACTCAGATTATTACATTGAGCTTAATTTTGAGCAGAATGATGAAAGTGGCAGCGAAGAGAGCACAGTAAAATACGAAGAAGGTTTTGAGAAATCCACGGACACAATCACAGGTTACACAATTACAGGTTTTGGAATAGGTGTAACCGGTACGCATAATGAGGAGATGTTGTCTCTACCATACGGCAGAGTACATCGGAATGACAAAAGTGATAATTTCATAGATGACCGTATTTATTACGATCTACGCCATAATGACCTTCAATTTGAGGATCAAGAAATGACGGGTGAATATGGGGGCAAATCAATTTATAGTCAAAAAATGGAAATGGTCCCTATAAAATCTGAAATACTGGGTCAAGGGTCTGTATGGTCTGATGGTCAGAAAACTGAACACAGTCGAGTCCACACATACTCAGAGAAATTAGCTGGTAACCACATTTCTTATAACACTTTAACTGATACTAATACAGCTCATAACTTGGAAATGAACACACTTTTACCACATTCAAATTCTAATACATTTATGACAAACAGAACAACTGACTCCTGGATAGAACCAAATAAAACTAAATACGAAATTCAAACAGGAAGGAAACAACAGGATTCGAGAAGTATCTTACGTGACACTGGCAGGTATACACGCAGCCCAAACAATCCATATGACAGACACAACCCAAACAATCCAGATGATACACATTGCCCAAACAATCCAGATAATAGACACAGCCCAAACAATCCAGACGATACACATTGCCCAAACAATGCAGATGATAGACACAGCCCAAACAATCCAGATGATACACATTGCCTAAACAATCCAAATGATAAACATTGCCCAAACAATCCAAATGATAGACATTGCCCAAACAATCCAAATGATAGACACAGCACAAACAATCCAGATAATACACATAGCCCAAACAATCCAGATGGATATTTTAACTTTGATGTCTTTGAACATGGGGAGACATCTGCTGTGCTGAATTTAAAATCCATGGGACTTAAATCGGGTGCTAATTTTGTTGAAAGGGGAGGCAAACACTGGGGGAATGAAAGGCCGTTTACGGAAAATAGAGTAACAAACAACAAAGGAATGGAAAAAGTGAACAGTGATAACAGCCGTCGAACCAGAGAAAATGAAGATGCTACCCCCGTTGTCCTTTGCCCGATGAAAATGATACCAGACGATAAGTATTTCAGTTCTAAAAGGAACGATGAGTCGGCGGTTATTGTCACATCGCTGGGTTCAAATCTGGAGCAGGCTGGAGTTGTGGGACTTCCTCTCGGTGGCGTTAAGAAAAAGGTAATTCAGAACCACGTGACCACCAACCTTTATAGTTTAGCAACAACACAACATTACACAATGAAAGTAAATTTAAATGACAGAGAAGCCATAAAGGGAGATCCAACATCACGAATTGTACCACGGGAAGAAAATATAAACAATTCACACAATAAGGCCAATATAAAGCAAAAAATCCAGATGGTAGATGAAATTAATATAGAAAGGCAAAATAAAAGTAGGACACAAATACGTTACGCTAAAAAACATGTAAATCGTAAACAGTCAGAGAAAAACGTTCCAGGTTATTCTTTCGGTGATGGCAACAAAGTCCGAGGCAGAAACACAAAAGCACATTCTAGTGACTCAAATCCAAAGCGCATACAACCAGAAGTTCATCAAATAACCAAGACGCCACGGTTGCAGATGAATTTATGGGCGGGTTTCCCGTATGTGCTAAATATGAGAGCTATCAATCGTCTCCTGTTTGGGCCCTACTCCAAAAACTCTAAACAGATATGGCCAGCCCCAGCTGGCAGGAAGCACAAACATCTAGCAAAGGGCAATGAAAACAAGAACAGAAGACAATCTTCAAGAAAAAGCAAAATCGCTGACAACGCCAAGAAAGGCAACTCGGCAAATAAACGAACTGAACATGAGAGGGACAGGGATTTACTTTTAAGAAAATTTACTCCAGGCAACAAAACTAGCCTATTTAATGATAACGATGAATTATGGGCTTCAAACAAACACCTATATACAGAGACCAAGGACAGGAATGAAAAGGCCAGACCTGTCACCCGTCGAGAGAGCACCACGGGCCAGATATGCAACCAAACCGAACAGTCTTCTGTCTTTGAAGAGGCGGATGAGATGACAGAAACATATGTGGCCATCTCTGCAATGGACGACTTACCAGAAACAAAGCCAGGTTGCTAAGAATTTACCGGTGTCCAGATAGAGCTGGTTGCTAGTGACGAGTGCCAAATTACAATGCATCGTAAAGAACACGATATTTCCTCTTTAAATAACGATGACATATGTAATCAAAGTGTTACTGCTAACTTTGGGAGTCAGACTGAAATAGAACTCAACATGTGCCATACATGTTCTAATTTGGAGATTGCAGCAAAAGTAAGCGAAGACGATTCAAATGAGTGCAGATTTAAAGAAGTTAATGTTTCCTCAATGTCTAAAGAATTTTCCAGAAATAAATTATTGCTGAAAGAAGAAACGCAAGCGACAAAACAACTGTCACCATGCATTGAGCAGTACAATTCGGACAGTGCTAAGATGACAACATCCCCAAACTTGCTAGAAAACGCATTTATAATTGAGAACAGTCACGAGTCACACAATTATGAAAGAAAACCTCAAATTCCACTCCAAGCGTTATCAAAATTCAGCACTGTAATATTATCTGAAAATAAGCAAACATCGTTGACAAACGAAGCCAGTTTTCAAGATGTTCTGTTCAGTGGTCAAAGCGTCAACAACTTTACATTTTCTCCAAAATCTTCGGCCATGGCGCCATTGCTTAAATCAGCAGCAGATTGTAAACAAATGTCTCCAGACAGATATAATTTGAAGTCTGTTCGCTTGGATGAATTTCCAGCTTCTGTCCCTAAAGATCAGTCATTGCATTTGATCTCACCAGAAGATGCCCTTTCAGCATCAAAAGATTCTCCCCAACATCTGACCCAAAACTCTGCCCGCCCTTCGCTGGACTCCACGTCTAAGAAATCTCTGGACCTTGAGATTAAAAATGCCACGAAAGTAGTTCTGCCTAGGATGGATGAGGAACCCAAAGCTGCCTCCAGTAGCGACGAGTCCTTAATCAAGAATGCTATCCCCTTCCTTCCACTGGCACTGGCCGTGTGCTGCCTAATTCTCAATGTATTTGTTCCTGGCTCAGGTAAGCGTGTTTATTTGATTTGTATAGTTATTTTACCTGTATGAGAAATGTGTAGTTCTTTTATATCTGTGAGAAATGTGTAGTTCCTTTACCTCTGTGAGGAATGAAATGTGTAGTTCCTAACCTCTGTGAGGAATGTGTAGTTCCTTTACTTCTGTGAGAAATGTGTAGTTCCTTTACCTCTGTGAGGAATGTGTAGTTCCTTTACCTCTGTCAGGAATGTGTAGTTCCTTCACCATTGTGAGAAATGTGTAGTTCCTTAACTTCTGTGAGAAATGTGTAGTTCCTTTACCTCTGTGAGGAATGTGTAGTTCCTTTACCTCAGTGAGAAATGTGTAGTTCCTTCACCATTGTGAGAAATGTGTAGTTCCTTTACCTCTGTGAGGAATGTGTAGTTCCTTTACCTCTGTGAGGAATGTGTAGTTCCTTTACCTCTGTGAGGAATGTGTAGTTCCTTTACCTCTGTAAGGAATTGTAGTACCTTTACCTCTGTGAGGAATGTGTAGTTCCTTTACCTCTGTGAGGAATGTGTAGTTCCTTTACCTCTGTGAGAAATGTGTAGTTCCTTTACCGCTGTGAGAAATGTGTAGTTCCTTTACCGCTGTGAGAAATGTGTAGTTCCTTTACCTCTGTGCAAAATGCTTAGTTCCTTCACCTCTGTGAGAAATGTGTAGTTTCTTTACCTCTTTGCGAAATGCTTAGTTCCTTCAACTCTGTGAGAAATGTGTAGTTCCTCTACCTCTGTGAGAAATGCTTAGTTCCTTAACCTCTGTGAGAAATGTGTTGTTCCTTTATCTCTGTGAGAAATGTGTAGTTCCTTCACCTCTGTGAGGAATGTGTAGTTCCTTTACCTCTGTGAGGAATTGTAGTACCTTTACCTCTGTGAGGAATGTGTAGTTCCTTCACCATTGTGAGAAATGTGTAGTTCCTTTACCGCTGTGAGAAATGTGTAGTTCCTTTACCGCTGTGAGAAATGTGTAGTTCCTTTACCTCTGTGCAAAATGCTTAGTTCCTTTACAGCTGTGAGAAATGTGTAGTTTCTTTACCTCTTTGCGAAATGCTTAGCTCCTTCAACTCTGTGAGAAATGTGTAGTTCCTCTACCTCTGTGAGAAATGCTTAGTTCCTTAACCTCTGTGAGAAATGTGTTGTTCCTTTATCTCTGTGAGAAATGTGTAGTCCTTTGCCAGTGTGAGAAATGGATTGTTACTTTACGTCTGTGAGAAATATGTAGTTCCTTTACCACTGTAAGAAATGTGTAGTTCCTTTACCTCTGCGAGAAATGTGTAGTTCCTTCACCTCTGTGAGAAATGTGTAGTTCCTTCAACCCTGTGAGAAATGCTTAGTTCTTTTACCTCTGTGAGAAATGCGTAGTTCCTTTACCTCTGTGAGAAATGTGTAGTTCCTTTACCTCTGTGAGAAATGTGTAGTTCCTTTACTTCTGGGGAAAATGTGTAGTTCCTTCACTTCTGTGAGAAATGCGTAGTTTCTTTACCTCTGTGAGAAATATGTAGTTCCTGAACCTCTGTGAGAAATGCTTAGTTCCTTTACCTCTGTGAGAAATGTGTATTTTATTTACCTCTGTGAGAAATGTGTAGTTCCTTCAACACTGTGGGAAATGTGTAGTTCCTTTAATTCTGTGACAGAATGTTTCGACGTACTGATGGGAATGATAAATCATGTGGTCTTGTTTACTCTCTGACTGGATGCGATGAAAGATAAGTTGGTCATTTCTCCTCTACTTATCTGGGCACAACCATAACATCAGACAGAAGATATTTGTCATAAATCAAGAACAGAATAGACCACGCTAAGGCTTCATTTCAAAGAATACATAACATCTTGTGCAACATGTGCCTGTCTTTGGATGTCCGAAAGAGAGTACTAAAATATTATATAGAACACATATTATTGTGTGGTAGTGAATCATGCAATGTGAATTAATAAATTAGAAAAAAAAAAAAAAAAAAAGTTGGAGACGATTGAAATGTGGTCCGCCAGACGAATGTTAAGAGTCCCTTTGACTGCCAGAGAAACTAACGAGGATGGCTTGAAAGCAGATATTGGAAAAAAAAAGATTTATTTATATAGATATAAGGACTCGACAAGCAGTGTTTGTTAGTCATGTGATTAGGGAAAGGGTGGGGGTGGGGTGGGGTGGGAGGCTCTGGGAAATATTGTGATGACTTGGAAGCTCAACAGTAGAAGAGAAGAGAGGCAGACCGAGAGAGATGACGACTAATGGATTGCGATACAGGCAAGCAGGGATGTCATCGATGGAACTGATAAAGAGGACAAGGGACAGAGATATATGGAGATTCATGAACGGCTACGCCAGTCGACAGGGCACGTGATGATGATGATGCATTTAAAGAAGGCATAAACCCCATCTGAGTTCACATAACATTTTTAAGGGGCTCATGTATCCACCAACCCCCTTTTCATCAGACATCCAATGTGTTCTATGTGTAAGCTCTCCTCCCCCCTCCCATCTGACTAATTTTATTACAGATAGATGTCTCTTTATGAGAATGCTTCATTCAAAATGAATATGACTGTCTGAATGTTAGGTACAGTCATGAGTGGACTGCTGGTTCTCTGCTGTGGTCAGCCGAGACTGCTGCGCAAAGAAGACCAGATTTTGACGACAATGTGTGTCAACTGCATGGTTGGTTTGGCTCAGCTGTTCACTGTTAGTTTCTTCCTCGTTGGCTGGTGTTGGTCTGTGGCCTGGGGAGTTCGCCTGGTACTGTTATCTGGTAAGTAAATACTAGCCGTGGAAGACGGGCACCAGTTTAAAAAAAAAATATTTGTTAAACAAATTTGTATTGAATTTTCACAAGTGATGGCGTTTACCTCAAACGGTTTGGTGATCTCTTAGAATGCAGTCACAGTAACAACCAATACAGGTGTTACACATGGACATATCTGATGTAGATGCAAGAGGTCGCCCTAGCAGAAGATGAACTGATGGCATTAGACATCAACATAGGCATGAAATGAAAACAGAAATTGCTACCCATTAAACAATGGATTGCAAACTGTTCCTCCCCACGCCACTTAAAGGCAATAGAGGAAATTGATGATGATGACGTTTCCCTATCATCACTCAACACATTGGCAACTACGAACCTCTATAAAATAAAAGTTAGTTGCGTATCCCTTACAGCATCAACCCTATAATTGTTTTGCTGTTGATGCTTTTCTAGAATAACTTTACGTTCAGTAGTTTGCCTGAGACAACAGTCTGTATACAAATACAGCAGATCTGTAAAACGGATATGCACGTAAAAATCAAGTTCTGGACAAAGTGAAACAGTTCAGAAGTGGAGGAACATCCATAACCTCGCGCCGGAGTTTACAGCCGGCAAACACCAAGAAGAAGAAATGACCCAGTCCTTGAATGACAGTTACCTACCCGGCCATAGCTTCAATGTCGTTATGTTTACCTTCCATCAGTGGCGCTGGAACAGGTGTGTGTGTGTGTGTGTGGGGGGGGGGGGGGTCATGCACCTTGCAAGCTATTTCGCCAGCAGCTGGGATCGAACCCGGCAACCCGGTATTGCGAAGCACTTTCGCAACTCCTAAGCCACAGACGCCGACAAACCTCCTTTAACAACAATGAAGACACAGTCAATACGATGGTCCTGGCATGTAACAAGATCTGCCGGCCTCGCCAATACCATACAGCAGGAGATCTGCGGAGAGGAAGGGTAGATGATACAGCACAAGACAAACATGGATACAAACATACAGTGGAGAGCAAGGGTAGAAGATACAGCACAAGATAAACATGGATACAAACATACAGTGGAGAGGAAGGGTAGAAGATACAGCACAAGATAAACATGGATACAAACATACAGTGGAGAGGGAGGGTAGAAGATACAGCACAAGATAAACATGGATACAAACATACAGTGGAGAGGGAGGGTAGAAGATACAGCACAAGATAAACATGGATACAAACATACAGTGGAGAGGGAGGGTAGAAGATACAGCACAAGACAAACATGGATATAAACATACAGTGGAGAGGGAGGGTAGAAGACACAGCACAAGATAAACATGGATACAAACATACAGTGGAGAGGAAGGGTAGGAGATACAGCACAAGACAAACATGGATACAAACATACAGTGGAGAGGAAGGGTAGGAGATACAGCACAAGACAAACATGGATACAAACATACAGTGGAGAGGGAGGGTAGAAGACACAGCACAAGATAAACATGGATACAAACATACAGTGGAGAGGAAGGGTAGGAGATACAGCACAAGATAAACATGGATACAAACATACAGTGGAGAGGGAGGGTAGAAGATACAGCACAAGACAAACATGGATACAAACATACAGTGGAGAGGGAGGATAGAAGACACAGCACAAGATAAACATGGATACAAACATACAGTGGAGAGGGAGGGTAGAAGATACAGCACAAGACAAACATGGATACAAACATACAGTGGAGAGGGAGGGTAGAAGATACAGCACAAGATAAACATGGATACAAACATACAGTGGAGAGGGAGGGTAGAAGATACAGCACAAGACAAACATGGATACAAACATACAGTGGAGAGGGAGGGTAGAAGACACAGCACAAGATAAACATGGATACAAACATACAGTGGAGAGGAAGGGTAGGAGATACAGCACAAGATAAACATGGATACAAACATACAGTGGAGAGGAAGGGTAGGAGATACAGCACAAGACAAACATGGATACAAACATACAGTGGAGAGAAAGGGTAGGAGATACAGCACAAGACAAACATGGATACAAACATACAGTGGAGAGGGAGGGTAGAAGACACAGCACAAGATAAACATGGATACAAACATACAGTGGAGAGGAAGGGTAGGAGATACAGCACAAGATAAACATGGATACAAACATACAATGGAGAGGGAGGGTAGAAGATACAACACAATATAAACATGGATACAAACATACAGTGGAGAGGAAGGGTAGAAGACACAGCACAAGATAAACATGGATACAAACATACAGTGGAGAGGAAGGGTAGGAGATACAGCACAAGATAAACATGGATACAAACATACAGTGGAGAGGGAGGGTAGAGGATACAGCACAAGACAAACATGGATACAAACATACAGTGGAGAGGGAGGGTAGAAGATACAGCACAAGACAAACATGGATACAAACATACAGTGGAGAGGGAGGGTAGGAGATACAGCACAAGACAAACATGGATACAAACATACCGTGGAGAGGAAGGGTAGGAGATACAGCACAAGATAAACATGGATACAAACATACAGTGGAGAGGAAGGGTAGAAGATACAGCACAAGACAAACATGGATACAAACATACAGTGGAGAGGAAGGGTAGAAGATACAGCACAAGATAAACATGGATACAAACATACAGTGGTAGAGGCAACTGGAGTGGTCTACACAAATGTGAATCTTGTATTAAATGACAGATACGTCAGTAGGGTAAAAATAGGCTTTTCTTATTTACCATGGTGTTTATGTGCCAGCGGCATTAAACGTTTTATTTTATTTTTAATAAACGCTCTGTTACTCTGATTACGGCCACAACAACAACAACAACAATAGCAGAAGCAGCAACAATAGCAGCGGCAGCAGCAAGAACAAGAACAGAAGCATTAACAACACCAACAACAACTACCACTACAACTGGTATTATAATTATCTAACTATATTGCAGTGCAACACCGACATGAAGCCCGAGAGCAAACAGATGGACAACATGAGGTTTTCGCTGAGGCCAACAGAAGGAAGAAGCAACCAATCATGTTGGCTACTTGAGCGGAAGTGCTCATGTTTCCTGATGGCGCTCCAAGCTTATGACAGCCCTTACTTAACAGAAAACAGTCGAATCAAGAGACAGAATAGGAACAGACGACGAACTAATTGTTCTGGAAGCTTCTACCCGAAACTGCTTCTTGTCTTAAATTAAACTCTTTCATTCCCAGCCCAGGACTGTCTTAGCGGTTTTATGGGCCCTCGGGCAAACCAGTGTGCTGGGGCCCTACGACAACCACTCACAGGGATGAATTGTAAATGGTAGATAATATTCAACATGTGTTCTGTGATAGATACTTCAGCAAAATTGGATTAAAGGGTAAACACAGATTCAAAGCCACAGTATGTAATTACTATCGACTTCTTGTATGGCAAGTCAGTTGACATTCACATATCAGCTATGCTCGTGGGGCCGCCCGTTATGCCACATAGTCTGCCCTCATAACAAATGTATTTTTGCTATTTCGAAGTATTTAAACATATAATGATCCTTGCCAGATCTCATTTCAAGAGTTTTACAGCAAAAAGTTCAAATTTAAAGCAATCGATCTTTCACCAAAACGCATCTTTCTTGTATTTTTACGGAAATTTAGAATACGAGCACACCTGTTGAACAGAAGGTATCGCATCGATCTATTAAACAGCAGATGCTGAATATCACGTAACATGCGACTTAAAAGCTCAACAGAGACAATGGACAAGACTTCCTGTCATTAACTCGACTGCAGTCACCCCATATTTACGTCATCGCTAGAATATGAATGCGCTAGGTAGTTTATCCAGCTACAGCACAAAGTGTAAAAGCTTGTCTCATACTGTACGCTAGTCATTAATGTACATGAGTATGCTAGTTAATAATATCCATTAGTATACATTAGTATGCTGGTCATTAATGTATATTAGTATGCTGGTCATTAATGTATATTAGTATGCTGGTCATTAATGTATATTAGTATGCTAGTTATTAATGTACATTAGTATGCTAGTTATTAATGTATATTAGTATGCTGGTCATTAATGTATATTAGTATGCTAGTCATTAATGTACATTAGTATGCTGGTCATTAATGTACATTAGTATGCTGGTCATTAATGTATATTAGTATGCTAGTCATTAATGTATATTAGTATGCTGGTCATTAATGTATATTAGTATGCTAGTCATTAATGTATATTAGTATGCTAGTTATTAATGTACATTAGTATGCTAGTCATTAATGTACATTAGTATGCTGGTCATTAATGTACATTAGTATGCTGGTTATTAATGTATATTAGTATGCTGGTTATTAATGTATATTAGTATGCTGGTTATTAATGTATATTAGTATGCTGGTCATTAATGTACATTAGTATGCTGGTTATTAATGTATATTAGTATGCTGGTTATTAATGTATATTAGTATGCTAGTCATTAATGTATATTAGTATGCTAGTTATTAATGTACATTAGTATGCTAGTCATTAATGTATATTAGTATGCTGGTTATTAATGTACATTAGTATGCTGGTTATTAATGTATATTAGTATGCTAGTCATTAATGTACATTAGTATGCTGGTTATTAATGTACATTAGTATGCTAGTCATTAATGTATATTAGTATGCTAGTCATTAATGTATATTAGTATGCTGGTCATTAATGTACATTAGTATGCTAGTTATTAATGTATATTAGTATGCTAGTCATTAATGTATATTAGTATGCTAGTTATTAATGTACATTAGTATGCTGGTCATTAATGTACATTAGTATGCTGGTTATTAATGTATATTAGTATGCTAGTCATTAATGTATATTAGTATGCTAGTTATTAATGTATATTAGTATGCTAGTCATTAATGTATATTAGTATGCTAGTCATTAATGTATATTAGTATGCTAGTTATTAATGTACATTAGTATGCTAGTCATTAATGTATATTAGTATGCTAGTCATTAATGTACATTA